TGGGGGTTGGCTCTCAATGATTGCAAAAGGCATCAAAAGGCTTGTTCCCACCCTTTTTGGACGCGTTCTACGGCACTGGCGGCGTACCAGCAGTGGGGCATTAAGCAAAGTAATTCTGATCTTGATTGACTCAGCAGGAACGGTCGCATTTGAAGTTCGCAGGCTCGGAGATTCATGATTTTTAGAACGCGTTGCTTTAATGTTGGGCTGAGCAGATATTTTTGTGTTCCCTAGCAGCATTCCTAGCTTTCAACGCATGTTCTTTGGGCAGATGTTTGATGCAGACTTGGAAAAACCGATTGATCATGCCATATTGATTCAACACTTTTCAAACAGTAGGGTTACAGCCACGAACAAGGAAAACAAACAGAATGCACGAGTCAACCTGATTCAGTTAGAGTTTCTTAGTTTTAACCGCATTCCTGACTTATGGGGGTTTGGAAGTCCATGATCAGGTTCATGCTATGATGCATCTTCCAAATGGCATGACTGCAGTGTTGTGCCAAATGCCTTCTATGCGACGAATGAGTTCTGCAGAAAAAACTGGTACGTTTAATCTTTACCAAGGGAATGCTTCGCCCATGCCGGCGCTAGACAATAAAATGAACATTTCAATGGCAGTCACGTCCGCATCAATAATTCCAACCTGCAATAGCAAGCAACGCATGCTGGAAAAATTGAAGTCACAACATGCACATCGGACTTTTTTGGACATGGAAACGCCATCAGGACATTAAGGTAGTTATGGATACATATTGGAGCAGAATTTTACAGGAATATTTTGTGGTATTTAAAAAGTAAGCTACATTAAATTGTACCCGGTTTGGTGTCAAAGTTTCCCAGTTTCCGTTTTCAAACGTTCCATGCCCAGATGACATTTCTCGGCATGGAATGCATGGATGCAAAAAAGGCAATCACGAGGTGAAGACTCTTGTGCTCACGCATGTGGCACAATGTGTTGACATGCGCCTTGCTGGCAAGTGGCATGTGACATCCGCTTTGTTGTTTATAGTTCATATGATCACCATTTTTTGGCGGACTGTGGGAATGCTTCTGTGAAAAGCCCAGGCGTACTTTGGAAAAGACAACCAGCCAGGTTTCGATTAGTGGATGTGTCACTTCATGCGTGCCAAAATTGACCCGTACAAAAAACAAATTGGAATTTTGGAAAGCGCATTTGAAATTAGCTATGCTTAGTTGGCTTTTCTTAGATTGATACGTTTTCCGGAAAATCTGTTCTTGAATCTTGGAAAGTTCAACCCTTTAGCTTTCTTCTTTGGAATATCCGATAGCATTGAAATTGTAACAGGCTCATTCAGAATCCATGGAAGACTTCTAATGTACGATTTGCATTTACAAATTAAATCAAGCAAACTGGAGCCGTCGAAACGTTTCATGGGACATCAATGTGTTCACTGTCCAAAGAAACACTTCGCATTTCCACTAAATATCGGAATCGTTCATCGGACCGGATTCCGACAGACTTGCCATGGACAGTCTTCTAATGACGACAGGAATTTCAATGAAAAAGATTTGGTTTCCATTGTAAGCAAGTTCAGCATTCTTCAGGCGAAACATGGCAGTTTGTGGCAAGCAGCCGGGGAAAAACTGAGCTATTTGTATTTATTTGTAGAAGTTGCCGCTGTTTGATGAGCAAATCCTGTGATCAAATAGTGTTTCAAAAGCATCGACGTGAACAAGTATAAGGTGAACGCATGGGAAAACACTGCTTTCCTGAGAGTCCTGAGGAATGAAGCCCTTGACTTTCCGGGAGCTTTGAAATCCAAAACGAGCACTGGATTCAAAGTGACCATAGTGCGCAAAAAATGCAGATTCACCAAGCAACTCCAGCAACATGTGTTTCAAATAACCGTTTGATGAGGAAAAATAAACACTGCAGTAGACATGCACTTTAAAATCAACATGTCAGTCAGCACGATGGCTTTCCTGAACGCTGATCTCATTGTGAAAATACCTTTTGATTGCCCGCCAATCAAGCGCAGGGTATCATTGAACAAAAAAGCTACATGAAAACAAATAGTCAAACAGTTCTGTGATGTTTTACCGACGTGGGCATCGCAAGTGTGGAAGGAGTGAAGCATCTCGTATATCCTTGATCTTTGGTAGTGTTGCTGCCAAATTCCTGGCCAATATTTCTGTGTTCCCCATGAATTTGCTGCAGCATGTTGGCCGTTAAAAATTGAATTACGCGTTCCCGTTTCCAAACGAACTTGCGAATAGAATTGTAGCCCCATTCTCGCTGTCCAAACTTTGATCCCAAGCATCTGGATTATATTTGCAGTCTATGCATCCTTTTCGCGTGTCAGAGTCAGGGGTATGGTCTTTGTATCGCATGTTGTTCCTGAGATTTTGATCAGGATTGCGTATGGGGGCTTCCGATTTCGATAGTTCATTACATGTTCCTTTTCCTGTATGATACGTACTTTTATCATCTTTTATATATAGGGGTCTGTTTTCTTATCAGGATCTTGCTGCTGTAATGTAACAACCATCCTGGACCAATGCCGGGAACATATTCCAGCTAAATCAAACAAGTGGTGGTGACACAGCCAGCTTGTTAGGCAATATTGTCCGTATGTTGGGACATTTTCCTGTAGTACCAGGGAAAGAGACACAGGACATTAACTTGAACATGGATATGGAAATTGGGCATGTGCAGGAAGTATATACATGGGACATGGACTTGTGGATTTGGATATGGACATGGCAATTCGAAAAGCGACACGGACAGAGGCTCCTGGGCCCAGACTCTGACATGGAAAGTTGGACATAAGCTTGGAAAGTGGAAACCGCCAGTCTTGATTTTTTCGGAAAAAAAGAGAAAAAAAAACTATTCCGGACATGAAAATTGTGCAAAAAAACTCATCCAAAGCTATGGGTCTGGATCAGATTACAGTCTTTTGTAGAAGATAACCCTTGTTTGTGCCACGCTAGATTGACCTAAAGGCCCTTTATTTATAGATTTTGCAGGTCCTGGGAGTGGGGAGCTTAGTTCCTGGCACGATTTGGTGGGTTTTGGGCGGCCATCGGGTCTCCCCTGATTGCTCGGGAGTCTTGCGGCCGCAAACTCCCGAGAAAAAGTGGGATCAGGCTACAGCTAAAACTGAGACCTACTAGGGTTCACCTTAGAGTGAGGAGAGCTCAACCAAACCAAGGGTTCACCTTGGAGTGAAGGGGTTCACTTTAGAGTGGGAAGTGTCTTTATAGGGTTCATCTTGGAGTGAGGAGGTGCACTTTAGAGTCCGAGGTTTCTTGACAAAAGGAAGGTGCCCCGAAGCCTAATATATAAGGTAGTAGTATAGGGTCCTGAATAATTCAAATAGTCGAAAGGGGGGAAACTGTCACGAATAGTAGATAGAATATGTCGTCAAGAATGGCAATCAAGTATCTCAGGGTCATTATATGCGTAATACGGTGCATATCACATAGTACCATTTCAGCAATCCAACCACCCATTCATCTGCAGTTATTTTCGGGTAGGGCTAGAGCGCATGTGCCAGAGACACAACCGAGGACCCAGCGAGAAGTCAAAAACAGGTAAGCAGTTCCACATTCCACAGACCATGCCGTACACAAAGTCATTTGAGTAGCCAGAGTCCAGAAAAGCACACATGTAGATGTTTTGCACGTATGCATGTCAACACAAGTGCATTTTGAACACGCACGCGTCGCGCACTATGAATCGGTTGCCTGCGGATGTGGTCGCTGAACGGGCTGCAGCAAACGAAACACGTGAACCAGCGCCCGGGAATCCTGCGGCGCGCCGCCCTAGGAGTAGAAGCCCGAGAACCCCCACAGCGCACCAGTGGCAGTTGATGAGGGACCCTACCGCAAGCTTTGCGGGGCCGCAGTCGCCTCGGGCCAAGATCCTGCAATCCAAAGCCGCGCGTGGAGGGGGTGACACGCAAAGGGATTTGGATCTCTCATGCTCCGCGGCCAATGTCGCGTGGCAGGCGCACGTATGCGGTTTTTTTTCTGCGCGTAATACCTGTGCAGATCGCTTCCGCATTGAGACACGTTTGCCTTGCAGGAAAAGACAATGCTGCCGCGCAACTTCAAACAGCTTCCCAGAAAGGTCCCCAGAAAACCACTGAAAAACCACAGGCCCAAAACCACCCCATAACCATATTTATATATATATAAATATAAATATATATATATATATATTTAAATATTTAATTATGTTTCCGCCCATTGTTCCATGAGGTAAAAATATGTAAAGAAATAAATCAATTTAGCTAATTTCAAGAGCAATGAAAACCCTGTTTTCTATTGGGTTCATGACGTATGGTGTGGAGGGGTTCTTGCTGAGGAGTTTAGATGGGTACGGGACGGTTGGTACGGGTTTGGGTGCGGGTACGGGTGCGGGTACGGTACAGGTACGGTACGGGTACGGTACGGGTACGATACATGGGTACGGTCGGTACGGTACATGGGTACGGTACATGGGTACGGTTTTCGTACCATGTACCGTACCCATGTACCGTACCGACCGTACCCGTACCATGTACCCAAATAGCGGCAGAAATCCGTACCATGTACCCAAATAGCGGCAGAAATAGCAGCAGATCTGCCACTATTTCTGCCGCTATTTGGGTACATGGTACGGGTACGGTCGGTACGGTACATGGGTACGGTTTTCGTACCCATGTACCGTACCCATGTACCGTACCGACCGTACCCATGTATCGTATCCGTACCGTACCCGTACCGTACCTGTACCGTACCCGCACCGGTACCCGCACCCAAACCCGTACCAACCGTCCCGTACCTATCATTTGGCATACCGTCCTGCTTCCAAAATGGCCAATAGAGCATTACTCTCCAAATTAGCTAAAAATCAATTATATAAATAGATCTTTATAGGTATATAAATATAAATATACAGATACATATATCATTTCTATTTTTCTATTTTCTTACCATGTTTACACAGCGATTTCGGGGGGAGCTTCTAACTTGGAGAATTTGGAGTCGAGGCCGAGAGCGGCTGGCTCAACTGCTTGGGGGAGAACTGCCCAAGGAGGAATCAGTTGGCCGAAGGTCGTGCGTATAAGACTTATTTAAGAGCTTGAGATTTGGGAAACATTGGTATATTTGGCACATTGTCTTATCTAGTTTCGATAGATTTCTACAGTATAGTAAGATTACATGTGTGTTTTCAATAATTTCTGTTGATTTTCTTTGAATCTTGTTACTTTGGTACTACAATTGCCTTGATGTACCTGCATTCAATTGGCACAAAAATTCAACCGTTTTCTTTCCACAAACTCGCATGTTCGGGAGATAAACATGGATAAATCCCATGGAAATCGCCGATGGAGACAACCATTGTATGCAAGGAGCCCAACGGCGAAGTCGCAAAGAAACTATCAGCGCAGCAGGCACTGGACAGGGTGAATTCACCTTTTGAATTCCGTTTGTTTGCTGTGAACTTTTTGTTTGTCATGGATCCATATGGATCCCATGGATCCCATGTTGCCAGGAGCAAAGCGTGAAGGAGGGTTGGCGACAGCACCAAACTCAGGGATGTTTTCATTTTTTTGCTGGCTATGAAGATGTTGAATTTTGTTTTCGGGGTTAGATAGCTTGACCTGTTGCACCTACACATCTGTGCAGCGCACCATTCTGAAGAAAACTGAATTCTGTTCACTGTTTTTTTTGTTTTGCACGTTTTATCTTGGTCCAAATCTTCCAAGTGGAATCCAAGTGGACAGCTTAACAATAGCTGGGTCTCAGGCATGCCCAGAGAAAAGAAGAGCGACAATCTACTCAACAATGTGTCGTGCACTGAGCTTTGCACGTGAAAGACGTTGACTCCCCCTGGGGTCCGATACACATCTCTGCAGCTATATTGGCTATATTGCTAGTTGGACAGCAGATCCATACATTTTCAGTTTGCACATGACGTAACATTGAACAATTTTGAGCCGCAAACCTGAGGCCGTGCAATGAACAATGCTTGCAGGCATTCCTTGTGATATGGACATTTGATGACATTTGTTTTGTTGATCTATCACTTGAAACTGTGCGTGTTTTTTGGACGGTCTCGCGTGTTTTTTTCCGTTTTAGACTATTATTTTGATTTTTGGGCAGTACCGACTTACCAACTCATACCAATGACCAGATCGAAACGGACTGTCCAAAACAACATAGCAGCCAAATGAATTTGCATGCCATGTCATTGGGCATGGTAGATATTTTGAGCATGTCTCCTGACATACAACTGCAAAATCTGAAGATATGAGAATAACAAACTGGTCATCTTGGAGCAGTGCAGTTGGGTTGGATACCAACGCCCAGTTTTTCCACTGTCCAGAGGCACGCCTTTCCAAAGACTTCACGTGGACAAAACGTAAGCTGACAGAATGCCAGATAGATAGGTCATTGAACCCAAAAGAGGCTAATCTCATCTCCACTGTTGGCATCTGTTGGTCCAACATTTGGAAATGGCAAAGCCTGGTACTGGACATTGTGGGCTGTTGCCGTAAAATTTTGAGGTCGGAATTTGCCCCAACCTCAATCGTGGAAGTTAGGATTTTATTCTGTCCATCCGACGGCGTAAAACGCTGCCAAGAACAGACCGAATCCAGACACAGAACAAAAGTTCCAAGCAGAAACTCCACACCCAGAAGCAGATGCTTGGGAAGTCCGCATCCGACAACTGTTTGACACCAGGGAACACTGACTGGCGGCGATGGCTCATTCAAAGAGTGTTTCAGTGAGAGCCAAACAGTCTGGTTTCTATATATTTTCAACAAACAAACAACATCATTGTTTCCTTTTTTTCCCGAGAGCGCCTGCGAAGGGTTCTTCTCAAAAAAGCAGCCGTTATACTACATCTTCAAACCTTCACAGCTGCTGATCTACATCTTCACACTCTCACATCTGCTGATCTACATCTTCACACTTTCACATCTGCTGATCTACATCTTCACACCTTCACATCTGCTGATCTACATCTTCACACCTTCACATCTGCTGATCTACATCTTCACACCCTCACATCTGCAGATCTACATCTTCACACCTTCACATCTGCAGATCTACATCTTCTCTTCACACCTTCACACCTGCTGATCTCTGCTGATCTACATCTTCACACCTTCACATCTGCTGATCTACATCTTCACACCTTCACATCTGCTGATCTACATCTTCACACCCTCACATCTGCAGATCTACATCTTCACACCTTCACATCTGCAGATCTACATCTTCTCTTCACACCTTCACACCTGCAGATCTGTGCAGATCTTTCTCTTCACACCCTCACATCTGCAGATCTACATCTTCACACCCTCACATCTGCAGATCTACATCTTCACACCTTCACACCTGCTGATCTCCTCTTGCTCTTCTTTCTATTCTCTCTTAAGGCGGGGGCGGTGCCACCGGAGCGCCACGAAACGCAACCCTTTCGCACGAAATGGACGTTGGACGTCAAAAACTGAGGTAAAATTGCGATTTAACTTGGTCAAATGCAACCCTTTCGCACGAAATGGACGTTGGCCGTCAAAAACTTAGGTAAAATTGCGATTTTAGTTAGTCGAGCGCAACCCTTTCGCACGAAATGGACGTTGGACGTCAAAAACTGAGGTAAAATTGCGACTTTGAGGTGTCCATGGCATCGCAACCCTTTCGCACGAAATGGACGTTTGATGTCAAAAACTGGGGAAAAATTGCGATTCTAGTTAGTCCATCGCAACCCTTTTGCACGAAATGGACGTTGAACGTCAAAAACTGAGGTAAAATTGCGATTTAACTTGTCCCGCCGCAACCCTTTCGCACGAAATGGACGTTGGACGTCGAAAACTGAGGTAAAATTGCAATTTTGAGGTGTCATGGGCAACCCTTTCGCACGAAATGGACGTTGAACGTCAAAAACTGAGGAAAAATTTCGATTTTACTTTGTTCATCGTGACCCTTTCGCAGGAAATGGACGTTGAAGGTCAAAAACTGGGGAAAAATTGCGATTTCACGGGTCCGGTCTCTGTGTGTAAAAGCTTCTGTGTGTAAAAGCTTCTGTGTTTAAAAGCCTCTGTGTGTAAAAGCGTCTGTGTGAAAAGTTGTCTGTGTGTAAAAGCGTCTGTGTGTAATAGCTTTTGTGTGCAAAAGCATCTGCTGTAAAAGCATCTGCGTGTAAAAGCGTCTGTGTGTAAAGTGTCCGTGTGTAAAAGTCTCCGTGTGTAAAAGCTTCTGTGTGTGAAAGTGACTGTATGTAAAAGCTTCTGTGTTTAAAAGCTTCTGTGTGTAAAAGTGACTGTGTGTAAAAGAAGCCTCTGTGTGTAAAAGTGTCTGTGTGTAAAAGCGTTTGTGTGTAAAATGGTCTGTGTGTAAAATGGTCTGTGTGTAAAAGCTTCTGTGTGCAAAAGCTTCTGTGTTTAAAAGCTTCTGTGTGTAAAGGTGTCTGTGTGTAAAATGGTCTGTGTGTAAAATGGTCTGTGTGTAAAATGGGCTGTGTGTAAATGTGTCTGTGTGTAAAAGCGTCTGTGTGTAAAGGAGTCTGTGTGTAAAAACGTCTGTGTGCAAAAGCGTCTGTGTGTAAAAGTGTTTGTGTGCAAAAGCATCTGCGTGTAAAAGTGTCTGTGTGTAACTGTCGACATCTTTCTTCTGTGGATATGGTTCTGCATGCATTTTTGGAGATTGTGTTTTGTGATTGTTCCATGCTCTGTAGGGGCTGTCCGTGGACATGGAACGGTTGCATTTAAAATTGAGTTCTGGTTTCTGTTGGGGTGGCATGTGACTGCAAGGATTGATTTGTGTCTAGCATGATAATACAGAACCGTTGGACATCGGCTGAGGATGGATGATTGATAGCACCCTCGCTGGGAATGTGTGGAGCTCGGTTGCTTTAGTTGCAGTGAGGGTGATGATGGCAGTCACTTTGTTTGTGTTGCGGCTTTTGTTCTTGGTGGACAACATGGAAATGACAGAGATCGACGGTGAACATGCTTGCTAGTGAGCATTATCTGCATGCAAAATGTTTGGTTCAAGTGGCGCGCCCGTGACACTTGTGAAAGCATTGTGGTCACTGTTTCATTTGCTGAAGGGATTGTCCGTGCGAATGGAGCAGGCGACCGCGTCGTCCAATGCCGTGGAAATTCGGTTGCAGGAGCTGCGTAGCAGTAGTGTGACCAGGGGCCGTGAATGGCTCCAGGGGGCCCTGGAAGAAATTTCCGCACTGGAGCTTCGCAAAATGGCAAGTGCTCGGAATGTTGGCCGTGGACCGGACAAGAAGTGGCTCGCGGTTGGTGAGCTGCGCGCTCGATTGTTGGAAGTCTTGGCACCGCCAACGCAGGTCGGGTGTGGCAGAAAAGGGATATGACGAAAGTTGAATGTTTGTTACATGGTTCAATGTTGTGGGATGAGTGCTGTTTTGTGGTTGCGGTGTGTTGCATGCTGTTGGCCTGTAGGAAGTTGGATCGGTTGCCAAGTTGGAAGAACTTCGCGTAGGAGCTGTTTCACATGGTGTGGAATGGCTCCGTCGTGCTCTTTCGGAAATCTCAAAAGATGAGATTCGCGCCCTGGCTGCTGCGGGTGGTGTGGAGACACAACCCGACAACAAATGGCTCACTGTAGCACAGCTGCGCGACGCGTTGATGAAAGTCTTGGCGCCATCAACGGAGGTTGGGTGCGTCAAAAATGGTTTTTAATCAAATTTGTATTTTTGATAGAAGTTGAATGTTCGTCACATGGTGCAATCTTGTAGGATGTTTTTTTTTGGTGGCACTGTGTTGGATGCTGTAGGTGGATGATCGATGGGCTGCCAAATTGGAAGAACTTCGCGTAGGAGCTGTTTCACATGGTGTGGAATGGCTCCATAGCGCTTTGTCGGAACTATTCAGAGATGAGCTTCGGCCCCTGGCTGCTGCGGGTGGTGTGGAGACACGACCCGATAACAAATGGTGTTTCCAATCGCTTGCCCTCATGAGGACTTGTTGTTCTCTGGCTTCGGTGTCAAGCTGCGAGCCGCGGCAATTTTTCCCAGCTATGTCGCTGTGTTGGTGCGGGCAGAAGATGAGGAAGCCAAGATTGATCGTTGAGACGGGCACGGGGGATGACAAGGTCATCATGCTGCAGTATGAGAAGGTGGTGGCAGTGGAGGCGCCGTTTCCCAAGCATTTCCGGGTGGAGGCCTTTTGCCGTTTGCAGCAGGCAATTCGCTTCAACATGTGTGACGGCAATGTGCATCTTGTCATCGGCAAGGTGACGGCGGAAGACGATGGCTCCGACATGGTTACAGAAAGAGTCTTCAAATTGCAATCGGAGGAACAGGTGAAAGCGGTCATGGCCGAGCGTGCCGGCATCGCAGCTGTGCAGATGATTTCTTCGAAAAAAAGACACGCCGTCGACTTGGTTGAGAAAACGCCCTTGAAAGTGAAGAGTGCCAAGTGGTAGATCCCCACATCTTTGTGTGGGGTTCTTGTTTTTGGTTCTGCATCCCGTCCGCCTCCCGCCCCCGCTCCCGCTCCCGTCGCCTCCTCCTCACACACAACTTGCTCACACACAACTTACTCACACACAACTTACTCACACACAACTTACTCACACACACACAACTTACTCACACACAACTTGCACACACACACACAACTTGCACACACACACACAACTTGCACACACAACTTACTCACACACGACTTACTCACACACAACTTGCACACACACAACTTGCACACACACACACACAACTTACTCACACACAACTTGCTCACACACAACTTGCACACACACACACAACTTACTCACACACACACACAACTTGCACACACACACAACTTGCACACACACAACTTGCACACACAGAACTTGCTCACACACAACTTACAACTTGCTCACACACAACTTGCTCACACACAACTTACTCACACACAACTTACTCACACACAACTTGCACACACACACACACAACTTGCACACACACAACTTGCCCACACACAACTTACTCACACACGACTTGCTCACATACAACCTGCTCACACACGACTCACACACAACTTGCACACACACACAACTTACTCACACACACACAACTTACTCACACACAACTTGTCCACACAAAACTTACTCACACACAACTTGCACACATACAACTTGCTCACACAACTTACTCACACACAACTTGTCCACACACAACTTAC